AATCTCAAAGAAGAGGCAATCACATGTGAGGCAGGAGCTCTCCCCATTCTCCTCCTTAGAGAAACAGAGCTTTTCCAGATGTTCTGCTTCTGAACTGCTTGTGAACCTTGTACTATTGTAAGCTCAGGCATTCGCAGATTATTTATTGTACTTTTTATTGTGCCTTTGCTGCTCACCGAAGGTGATGGAATTGAATAAATTCTATTTAATTTTACCTTTTCTGTATTGTATAATCTATCTTCTTTATATGGATGCATCTGCTTGGTCTCAGGCTCCAAAGGCATTGCAATGCAATTCTCCCTGTCTCTGTGCGTGTGTGTGAATATTCCCCTACAAGAAAGAAAATTATTAGTCAGTTGTTATATTCCCTTCTGCAGCTAATGAAAAATATAAAGTATTTTTATGATGGATGTGAATAATAGATATCACCACCCACAACCTTCCTCTGCCATGCATGTGGGGTGTCTCACATCGCACGCAAGGCAAGGAAGAGAGAACCAGTGGGGAGAACAGCTCTGTCTGTGCCTCCATGCTCCTCTCACCTCATGAGATGCAGAGTTCTTGGCTGGGTACTGTGTGTGAGTTGTGTGCTGATATTCCCCACAGCTACATTGCCTTTCCATAGATGATCTAACATGTCCATAGATCCACTAATGTGTATGGATAGACACATCATGCTCATCGTTCATGACTTATGACTTCTCATCTTGTAACCCCTTGTCTTGTGAGGCCATGATTACCTGTAACAATGGTGCCAATGTGGGACAGTGGCGCATGGAGGCTGAGGAATAACATGAAGGTTGTGCTGCTGTGCTCTATCCTTCCTTTTTTCTGTCATAGTCTACCTCCCATGTTGGAAATTTGTCACTTCTGTGAACTTTTCTCATGTTGGGAGGCGGTTGGAGTAGTTGGACCCTCCTGATAAACTCTGCCCAAGAAGAGGCTGGGAAGGATTTTCAGCCAAGGACTTTTGTTGACATGAACACTTTGCCTCCATGGCTGTTGCTTTCCCCCGCAAAAGCACCATAAAAAAGGCTGTCAGCATTTCCCAATGCAGCTCTGACTTTAGAGACACCTGGGTTTCTTTCAAATAAGCTAGACAGAAGCACTACAACTTCAGGATAGTGCTCAACCCAAACTCACCAGAAATATGACTAAACCCTCTCTGGAGCACCATGCAGGAATAAGTGGGATGAGCTAATGCTCATCCATCTGGTGTTGCAGCAGAGTGTTAATGAAAGATCTCATTCCCTCCAGCTGCAACTATTTCATTCCAGGGATAAAGAAAAAAAGTAACATTTTATTTCTTAGTCATAATCAAGCAATGTTTTAATAAAATAAAAAGGCTTAATATAAACAAAGTGCTATATAAAATATTAAAAATTACGTATCAACATAAAATTTATATATTCTATAGAAATCAAACAGGAAATATATAAGAGTCATTCAGAGGGATGAAAAAGAGATCATGGTTCTTCCTCTTGGCATCCTTGGTGGTTGATTGAGAAATGACAGTGCATGTCCTGTCTTGGCTAGAGTTGCTTCAGTACCTCAGTTTTCCCATCCTTGAAAAAATGTGATGGAGGAGTCTAGTTTGTCTGGCTGAATCTTCACAGCAAGACAAAGAGTCTTGAGAGTACAACACCCAGAGCTTTTCCACAGAACTGCAACCATTGAAATTTGGGGTTCTTTTCTTAGACCTGTGAACCAAAGGGTGCCAACAGAAAAAGCAACTTCAGAAATTCTAGGAGACTCAGCTGGAAAAGGAAAAATTGAGTTTAAAATCTCTAAAATTTGGCTAATCAGCGGTGAGAGCCCAAGTCCTCGCATCCAGGGAAACTGTTCAACCTACTTGGAGGTATAGGGGCATGCCTGTATAAAAATTTCTTCTTTGTTAGTACAGCTGCCCTACTTACAAGTTCTATGGGTACTGTGTTGCCCCTGTAGTTACTGGTTAGCATCTGGTCCTGCCACAAGTCCTTCCAGGTCTCAACTGGGATCAGAGGACAGCTGCAAGATTGGAGGCCCAGGAGAGGACTTCCCCATCTAGTTTAAGGATTGTGCTTCAGGCACAAGGATTTAGGTTTAGGCCAGACCCCTGGGCAGTGTGTTAGGCAGTCGCTGAGTTTCCTGTTCTAACAGTTTTGTACACCTTTATTGACAGAAACTCAAAAGTTAAAAGGACTTGATCCCCTGTGAACTCTGGTGTCCATGGAGCGTTTTCTTATTTTATTCATGGAAACTGTGGGAGAACAAAAAGGCTGAGGCAGTTCAGTGCCTTTGAGAGCCTGGGTTTAAGCTCATGTGACAATATTGGAAAACCTACACTTGAAATCAGATTCAATGCTGGAAGGTGAATTGCTTCTTCAGGGTAAATGACAAAAAGGAGTCATTGGACTAACCTCTAGTATGTTCCCCTGGGGGGTGAAATGCTTAACAAAAAATAAATTTTCACAATGACACAGATTCTATGCTTATATTCTGGTAAAACTACTCCAGTTGGGTGTTACATAAATGAAAATGTCAGATGTGCCATAGTTGAACGTCAACATGGGAAGTAAAGGAGCAGAGCATGCTTAGCGCTTTGTTTGAAATCAGGCCAGGAATGCTGGGACTGAGGGATACTGAGCCACAGGAACAGCATGTAGAGCAATTGCTAAAATGTTAAAAAATGCTGCTCTCAATCAGTGCCTACTGACTGTATGATGCAGTCCACTGCTGATATTACTAAACAGAATGCATCCTGTATAATTGCTCCTCCCAGTGCTTTTGTCTAACCATGGAAAAAAAAACCCTGCATGGCTAAACTGCAATATTAAAAGCATGAAGCCAGTGGATGGTGTAATGCTCTGTGTGTGGTATGGTGTGGTGGTGAGACAAAGTGAAAAGTAATTGGAAACAATTTCATTGGATACAGCAAAAGTTTGGCATGGTATTTATGATGGACCTGCATGTGCAAGAAATCCATTTGTCACAATGGCAGCAGGGCTGTCTGCACAGACCTACAGTTTTCCTCTGCATTGCCAAAAAGGGGGGTGCCAAATAAAGGGGCTGCTCTGAGGACAGGATCTCCCAACGCCCCCCCCCCCCCCCCCCGTTTATGGGCAGATCCCAAATTGGACTTCAGGTATGCATTCATTTGGTTCAATCAGCGGGAATAAAGTTACACAAACACTGTTGTTCTGATCTGCTCAGCTGTCAGATTAGTCTGAAATGGCCACTGAGCACCCAGAAGCAAACACATCTCTGACCTAAACCCTCTCCCACCGTCACAGAGTGCTTCCAGAGTACCCACCCAGCCGCAGTGTGGAGCCTGTTTAACAAAGGGCACGGGAACATTAGCAAACAGGTGCGAGAGGTGCGTAGGACACAGATCCTGTGCGAGCTGGGAGATGCCACAGCTGGACCCAGGCGGTGCCGGCTCTCAGCACGGACGGCAGCACGGGGCAGCAGCCCCGCAGCCAGCCTTGCACCGCCCCGCTGCAGGGCACTGCAGCTTCCGAGCCTCTGTCCCTTCCACTTCCAAGAGCTGCCAGGGAGAATGAACCTCATCTTCTCTCCACTTATGGAAGCATGTGGTTGCCATGGGGGGAATAGGAGAGAGGAGAATCTCTCAGTAGCATAATCCGATTCAACTGAGATTCGGCTCGCGCTGAAAACAGCTGGCTGCTTGCCCAGAACAGAGAATGAACTTTACAGGATTTCGAGTGAGCGAGCCCCATCTTCAAAAGCATTCCTCTGGTAAAGCAACATGCTCCACCGGATCTCATCCGAAGACCTGTTAGACGGAGGCTGCTCAGGTACTCAGAGTAAACCGACATATTAAACATTGATATTGGCAAAAGAAAGAGTTCCTATAAAACAGAAATTACTGACCTGAAGCCTAAAAATTAAAAAAAAAAGATAAAAAATTTGAGTATCACATCTATCTGATTTCCCTGGTAGACATTGCATGGCTTTACAACCACATTTCCCTGCTTACCATGAATGTTCATCTCATCTTCACAGCTTTGTGTAAGGTTCACACAAACAGAAATATAAACAAAAGTAAGTAGAGGGGAACAATAGAATGAAAAAGGTGAAATTTCAAATGTATGTCACTTAAAGGACTTAGCAAAATTATCATGTAATATGTTTCAGAGAGACATGATCGATTAAAAAGACACCTCCTCTGAGCCTAATTCAATTTTTGAAGTGAAATATCTTTATCTTTAGAGTAAGAAATATTGAACCCACGTTCATTCCATTTCTCTTTGGGGAGTCTCCCAGTATTTGAAAGCGACAAACACAACACTTTAACAAGCCTCGCCCAGGCATGAACTTCAAGTGCACTGTCTCTATGAAAAATGTATGGAGCTCTGAACTTTACAGTGACTGCCATGCCTCCCTCAGTCCCTTACGTGCCTCTGGCAGTGTAAGAGCCAGGGCGCTGTTCAGAGGCGATTTTTTCTTTACACTTTTCCCAGTTGGCTGAAGACGACACCGGCCGCGCCGAGTTTCAGAAGACAAGTGTACGGCAACTCCCGGGTGTTCACAGAGCACCGGCCAGCGGAGGAAGTGCCGTGCCGCCCAGCCCTGAGCATCTCCAACCCAAACAATCTCCCCAAAAAGACGACTAAACATCCCGAAGAAAACCGAGGAGCATTTAATGGGGCAAAGTTCGCATCCCCGCCGACGCGGCTCCCCTCTCCCCCCAGCGCGGAGCTCAGCTGGACGCCGGCAGAGCCCTCGGGACCCCCGCGGGACCGGCCCCACCGCGCTGCCCCGGGCTCCCGGCGCGCTGGCCCCGCG